TCACCTCTTCCATAATTCCTGGGTTAGTGACAGGTGTCTTGGTATATTTTTCAGTCTCTGAAACACTTCAGTTAAGAAGATCATGGCCATGTGATGATTAACTTTGATAGACTTAGCTCTTCTTAGCAATACAATAATCCAAGACAATTCTAAAAGACTCATGATGGAAAATGCTAACCAAATCCAGAGAAAGAACCATGGAATCTGAATGCAGATTGAAGCATACTATTTTCACTTTTTGTTTTTTGTTTTGTCTTTCTCATGGTTTCCCCCTTTTGTTCTGATTCTTCTTTCACAACATGACTGACATGGAAATATGTTTAACATGATTGTCCATTATATAATGTATATATCATATAATGTTATAATATTATGTATTATATAATATATATATTATATATATGATATAAGTTATAATATATCATATTGCTTGCTGTCTTGGGAAGGGGGAAGGGGAGGGAAGGATAAAAATGTGGAACTCAAAACTTTACAAAAATGAATGCTTAACGCTTTCTCTACATGTAATGGAGGGAAAAAATAAAATACTACTGAGAAAAAGAAGATCATGGTTAAGTCTTGCTGATCTTTAAGCAGAAAGAGTTCATTAGAGATACCATTTCCCTGAGTGGATGGCAAAAGAGAGCAAAAAGTGGAAACTGAAGGGGAAGCTTCTTGGAGGCAAAGACTGTGCCTTCTCTACACTTTGCCTCCCTTCCCTACCCCTACTCTTTCAAATGAGTAGTTTTTTTTCCTTGTTTTTGTGTTTTGGCTAGGCAGTAGGGTTAAATGATTTGCCCAGAGTTGCACAGCTAGTAAGTGTTGTGTGTCTGAGACTGGATTTGAAGTCCTCCTGAATCTGGGGCTGGTGCTCTATCTACTGTGCCACCTAGCTGCTTCCTAAATAAGTAGTTTTATAAATGTTTTTTGTCAGTGCCCCTTTCCTTTGGTTCCTTGTATTTGTTGCATTAGTCACTTGAGTGTAGAACAGAAGAAATTTTCTAGGGTGGAAGATGGGTGGAACCAGCCCCTCTTTTTCACTGAGTTCCCATCCTGTAATGTGACTGCTGATTCACATGAGTCAAAAATGAAGAGAGGAATTGTGTGTGATTTTCACTGGTAAACAGTGATGGGTTTTGTGGAATGTTAAAATGAAACTTTATTTTTGTAAAGGAAGCCCTTTGGATCAGAGAAACTGGGTTCTAGAAGCTTTATATCTGTATACCTTTCCCTATTACCTGAATGTGTCCTTATGTTCTGTGGTGGTTGGCAAGTTTTCAGAAGCATTCTGATTAAGTGATATGTTTAGTAAGTTCAAAGCCTAATTTCTCCTTCCTAATTAAAAACGTGTGTCTGTCATGCTGTTGTTGATTAATTTACATTTTCCAGCAGTTTAGCTGGAATATTGCTGTCAACTCTTTTGACTGGTGGCATCTTGCTACTGAACGGATTGGTAGTCTAGAATTCAGAATCACATTGAGAGTAAAAAGGGGCTAGATTGAGTGACCCCAGGTAAGGTTTCTGTAAGGTTAGAATTTACCCCTTGAATCTGTTTAAGAAGGCAACGCTACTAGTTGTCTTTACCACATTCACTTAGGAAGTGTGATTCTGTTTAAAATTTTTATTCTTTTCCTCCCCTTACTCTGTGTGTGTATATATAGAGTTTTAAAAGTAAATAAAGTTTACTGTGTGTGTCTAAAATTATGAGATAGGATTTCTGTTGTGGCATAAAAACTCTGGAGGCAAGTAAAAATGGGGACCACTTCCAGGTTTTTAAAAGATGTCAGTTGCTTAAATAAACATATGGATGTGTGTGTGTGTGTGTGTGTGTGTGTGTGTGTGTGTGTGTGTGTGTGTATTTCTACTTCCTGGGAGAAAACTCAATGCAGGGACTGGATACAGCATGGGTCTCGAGCTTGGGTTAGTGAGTTTAGCTGTTTAGCACTTGCTTATTAATGAATTTGTAAATACTTCTGTAGGATTAAACACTCCCTCTGCCCTCATTTCACTGCCTTGCAGTGACATTGCCTAGTCCTGTAAAACATCGAGAATGAAGTGTTATAGTGATTATGTTCTCTTGCTGCTAGCACAAGAAGTTGTAGGTTCAAAACCTCTTCATGCAGTGATAAGCCTCCTAGATATACTTAAGGACTTACTCTAACACATTCATTCTCTTCTAGTCCACCCTAGGAAAAAAAGCTATTTCTTACCCTAAAGGAAATCTTTTGCAAACACACTTGCCAAAAATATGCTTTGTATTACCTTTCTGTTTGTCTTTTTTTTTCCCCTGGCTGCCCTGGTGTTGATATAATTCTCCCTGATTAAATATTTGTGCAAAATTTACTCTCAGGTTGCCAGTGAATTTACAGACAGTCCCTTTGGTGCTCTAGCATCAGACCTTGTGGAAATGTTATTATTTTTTTTTGTTTCTGAATCTTTCCTCTCTCCCTTGTTCTTACCCCACCTTCCTATCCAAATCCAACATCTCCAGGCATGTTTACTGAAAGTATTTAATTTCCTCACACTCAGTTCTAGGCTTATGCTAAAACCACATCCATCTTGTCAGAACTCAAAGTGTTTTAATAACATGCTATTGTTGCAGCTTTTTCACAGCCAAGACCAGGGACTTTCTTGGTGCCTTCTGCTGAGAGTTGAGACTGACGCCGGTGGGACTGTGTATTATTGCGATGTTTGCTTGAAGGGTTTCAGCCATGTATTCACCAGACTACATGTTGAAGTCTTAGATGGGTAGTTTGGGGTTTGTCTTTTTGTTTTATTTGGTATTATTTCAGTGAGATTTCCTTTTGTAGCTAATATTTTTCCTTTTTTATTGCTCTGTATGGTCAACAGTTCTTGTCTACTTTTACTTTCAGTGTTTAGAAGACCTAGCTCTTGCAGTGCAGAGATGTAGCTGTGAGATTTTAATGAATATCCAAGTATAGCAAGAGTATTTATTTGTATGAGAGAAACATTCTGCTTGGATTTTGTTTGCTGTTAATCTTTTCAAAAGTTATATGAAATGAGTTATTTAAGCCAAATAATTTCACTCAGTAAGCATTTATTAAGGCCTTTTATGTACAAAGCATTGTGTTTGTATGGACACTGAGAGGGATAAAGCACCATCCTAGTCTTCATGCAGCTTACAGTCTAGTAAGGATGGTAAGACATATACACAAATAACTATTACAAAGTATATCTTAATAAGTATTACCAGAAGGGTAGAAAACAAAATACCTGTAAAGTTCAAGGAACTCTACAGTGGCACAAAGAAACAAATAGGAACAATCTACTATGGTATTTTTCACAGGCCTTGTTTTTACTGTGTGTGTCTAAAATTATTACTAATTAAACAGAGGTCTCTATTAAATGCTTGTTATGGGCCTAGTACATCAGGAGGCGAGTGAAGTACTTTCTACCCGCAGATTTCTCCTCACTTCATTCTCTCCCTGAAGAGTTTTCATTCATCAGGATTTCATCTGGATCCCATCCCTAGTAGTAAAGTATCATCTTCCTTTCCTTTCACAGTCTCTGAGACTTCCTATTTGTGTCCATTTCTTCCCCATGACGTACTGTAGGAGTCCTATTGATGCCCCTCCATTTGGCACTGAAACTTTCTATTCAAGGGTACATGGTGGTATGCATTGCCAAGTTTTCCATAGGGTCGGCTGGACGTATATGGAAGCTTAGACAGTGGTGATGATGATGAACTTTCCTGGCCTTTGACATCTTATATCATGCTAAGCAGTAGACAACTCAGGGTTACAATTCTGTTTATTTACTCTCTTTCTAAGTCAAACATCTGAAAGTAGCTTATTGCCCCCATTTCCTCTTACTCATTCCTTAGCCTTTTGCCTTCTGGATTCCAACCTCATCACTCAAGTGGAATTGCTCCCTTCAAAATTATCAGTGATCTGTTAATTACAAAATCTAATGGTCCTTTCTCAGTCCTCAGCCTCCTTGACCTCTCTGCTGCATTTGACATGATTAACCACTTTCTCCTGCAGGATACTCCCTCTGAGTTTTCCTGCACTTTTCTTTCCTGGTTCTTCTTCTACTTGTCTGACTGCTGCTTCTCAATCTTCTTTGCTGTATCATCCCAAACTGTTAATGAACTCCAACATTGTACCCTGGGCATTCTCTCCCTAGTCTCTTTGTAACCTCATCAGCTCCTATGGGCTTTGTTGTCATTTCTTGCTGAGGATTCACTGATCCCACATCATAAATTATCAACTGAACATTTCTAATTGGATATCTCATAGACAACTCCACACGTCTGAAACTGAACTCATTATTTTTCCCTCCCAGTTTTACCTTTTTCTCATACTTACCTTTTTCCTCTTAATTGCAGTATCCTTCTTACAATCTCCCAGGTTGGTAATGTTGGCATCCAGACATCCAATCAGTTGCCATATCCTGGCATTTCTGTCTCCACAACATCTCTTGCATCTGGCCTCTTCTCTTTATTCACACAGTTACCACTTAATTCAGGCTCTCCTCACCTCTCACTTGAACTGTTGCAGTGATCTCCTAATTAGTTTCCCTTCTCCATTCAATCTGTCTTCTACAAAGCTTCTAGAGTGGTTTTCCTTAGCTGAAGATCTCAGTATGTCACTCCTCTATTCAATAAACTCCAGTGGTAACTCCCTTTGGCCTCTAGGATAAAATATAAATTCCTCTATTTTGTTTTTAAAGACTTTTCCATGGAAAATATTATTATCCCCACTTGACATAGAGAAAGTTAAGGTTTATACAAGAGTAGTGACTTGGCCATGGTCAAGTATGAGAGCCAGGACTTCAACCTAGGTATTTTTGATCTTGTCTCCATTGAACCACATTGTCGCCTGAGTTCCAATATAAATATAATTAAATGGTACTACTTTACTTTTTAAGGAGCTCTAAAGGTCTTGAAGGTAAAAGTTGTGGGAAGGTCCAGTCAGTAAGTATAGTAACTTACAGATACTGGCTTGCTTTTTCTTTAACCCTTTACTCTCCTTTTCTTGAAGGTTCAACTATCCCAAACCCTAGAAGAATTGGGGAATCAGAAAGAGCGAGCTGAAATGGTAAGTCTGCGTGCATTTCTGCCATGTACTGTTATGATAAACCTTTGTTCCCCAGCATGTCAATTCAGTCCTGCTCAGTGATTTTTTGCTACTTGAGGGAGAGTTGCCAACCTTGCCCAAACAGGTCAAAAGATTTCTTTGCATACCATCCCCCTTCTTATTCGGCAAAAGATTTGTAGTTTGACAAGATTATTTTTGCTGTTCCTTCATCCTGAGCCTTTGTTCCTTCGATTTGTTTGTCTGGTTTGAAAGGGTTAATGAGAACAGCAGATTTCCTTCATAATATGTCTTTTTGCTCCACTTGCTCTTTGTTTTTGTTTTTTGTGTTTTTTAGTAAATAGTTTTTCATTTTTTCCAATTACATGAAAAGATAGTTTTCAGCATTCATTTTTTATAAGATTTTGAGTTCCAGTTTTTCTGCCTCCCTCCTTTCACTCCCCTTCCCCAAGACGGCAAGTGATCTGACATAGGTTATATGTATGCAATCATGTTAAACATTTTTCCGCGTTAGTTGTGAAAGAACGGAACAAAAGGGAAAAGCAATGAAAAACAAAAAAACAAAAAAAAAAGTGAAAATATTATGCTTTGATCAGAATTCAGACTCCATAGTTCTTTCTCTGGATGTGGATTTTCTGTCATGAATCTTTTGGAATTGTCTTAGCTTATTGTATTGCTGAGAAGAGCTAAGTAGATCATAGTTGATTATCGCACAATGTTGTTGTTACTGTGTACAGTGTTCTGGTTCTGCTCATTTCACACAGCATCAGTTCATGGAAGCCTTTCCATGTTTTTTTTTGAAATCTACCTGCTCATCATTATTGATAGCACAATGGTATTCCATTACATTCATATGCTTGTTCAGCCATTCCCTCAGTTTCCAATTCTTTGCCACCACAAAGAGCTGTTATAGATATTTTTGTACATATGGGTCCTTTTCCCTTTCTTATGACCTCTTTGGGATACAGACCTAGTGAGTAATATTTCTGCATCAAAGGGTATGCACAATTTGATTGCTCTTTGGGCCTAGTTCCAAATTGCTCTCACAGCTTCACCAACAATGCATTAGTGTCCCAATTTTTCCACATCTTCTCCAACATTTATCATTTTCCTGTTTTGTCTTATTAGCCAATCTGATGAGTGTCAGGTGATACTTGAGAGTTATTTTAATTTGCATTTCTCTAATCTCTAGTGATTTAGAGCATTTTTTCATATGACTATAGATAGCTTCAATTTCTTCATCTGAAAACTGCCTGTTCATATCCTTTGACCATCTATCAGTTGGGGAATGACTTGTATTCTTATAAATTTGACTCAGTTCTCTGTATATTTGCGAAATGAGGCCTTTATCAGAAACACTTGTAAAAATGCTTTCCCAACTTTCTGCTTTCCTTCTTCTAATCTTGGTTGCATTGGTTTTGTTTGTGCAAAACCCTTTTAATTTAATGTAATCAAAATCATCCATTTTGCATTTTATAATGTTCTCTATCTCTCTTTTGGTCATAAATTCTTCCCTTCTCCATAGATCTGACAGGTAAATTATTCCTCGCTCTCCTAATTTGCTTGTAGTATTACCCTTTATGTCTAAATCATGTACCCATTTTGACCTTACCTTCGTATATGGTATGAGGTGTTTATCTCTGCCTGGTTTCTGCCACACTATTTTCCAGTTTTCCCATGAGTTCTCATGCCAGAAGCTGGAGTCTTTGCTTTATCAAACAGTGGATTGCTATAGTCATTTACTACTGTATCTTGTGTACCTAATCTGTTCCACTGATCCACCATCCTCTTTCTTAGCCAGTACCAAAAAGTTCACTTGCTCTCTTTGTAAGCTTAGGATGTCATCAGAGACTTCCAGTAAGCTTAAAGGTAGAGCTTTACTAGTGTGCTTTGATTTGTCTTTTTAAATATCTGAGCTGTGTTGAGTGTTTGGTCCTGGTGCTCACATTTTAAATGCTCATATGCAGCATCACATTTTCTTGGGAAAAATACCCTGAACATGTTTCATTTATTCTATTATAATTTGTCATTTTTGCATGCAATTCTGATTTTAACCACTTAGGTTTTCCTCTACAATAAGTGAAATTACTGCATTCACAAAATTCCACAATGAATGGAGGTGAATGCATGAATCTGTTTGTCATTGCACTTTGCATAGTCATTCCCACCCCTTCCTCCACCATCCACCTCATGCTTGTAAACTGCTGAGGAGGAAAAAGTGAGGCTGGTGACCTTGTACTTCAATCCAATTCACTTGCAAGTCATAGCATCATCTTCCTGATGTCATGGTCCTCTTTGAGAACGAAAGACAAACAACAATGTAAACTGTTGACACTCGGGAAGTGGAAAGTTTCTGACAGGTTATTCATGTGTCTACCGGAATGTATCTATTCCCCTACTCTAAAACCAAATTTAGAGAATTATCAGATTAACTCTGATCCCAAATTGGCTATACTTTTGCTTCCCTTATTTACTGTAGTTAATTGAGGTGTTAATATATGATAAAATTTAGGAGTAAGGACAGTTTTAGACAAAGAGCCAATTCATGTCTCATCTAGGTTTCTGTCCTGTGACTTCCTCATTCCTAGATTCTGACTGTGTCAGTAATTCATTCGTTACCAGGTTTTGAGGCCATATAAATGTAGGGCTTATTTTCTATTGACTTTAAAGAAGCTGGAGAGGGATGTGTTTTTTGAAGACTGCTGCATCCATTTGAAAAAAAACCCTGGGGAGATCCCGATGTTGTGTATGTCAACATGCATCTCTTTCTGAATGTTGACCTGAATTGAAACATGCCCAAGGGCCTTGTTTCCTGTAATGTGCGCAAGGCCAAGAAGAATTAGAAATGAATTTGTTTTAACCACATGAGAAGGATGTGGAGTGTGGTTAGAAACATTTCAGAAATTGCCCCTAAAGATGTCCTTGAGTCTGGAATCCCCAGCCTCCTAAAGAGGCCTTACATGGCATCCAATTAGCTGACTGCTTTACTTTAAGTTTTAGAGAAAAAGAAATCAGTAAGTCTTTTGATGCTATTTCTTTGGCCAGGGGGTCAAGAGACAGAGGGCACAGGCTGCTGCCATTGTGCCTTGTCTTTTTTGGATGCCACACACCACAGATTTGGAGACAGCACCACCAGTAGATCATTGGGTGGCTAAGTTGCTGTGATTTGAAGAGGCCCTTGACTCTGTCTCCGTGGATTACAGATTAAGCTCTAATCAGTTGAATATGATGGGTTGTGTGTTGGATTTATTAGGACATACTTTTGAGTCTAGTGGCATCCGTTTATGACTTGCATATATAAATTGCTGCCCCATCCAAGCCCTGCCAGCCCCTCATGACTTGGCCTAGTAGAATGATCAAGTACCTTCTGACGTATCATTGAGTATGCTGAAAGTTAAATGTCAAGTATGTGGAGGGGAGTGGGGAGAAAGGGTTCCTGTAGCCAAGTACCTCATTATGGTTGGAGGAATTGTTGAATATAAAGAGATAAAATATCTTGCCAGGGTTAAATGGTGAGCTAGATGACAGAATCAGCTTAGGACTTAGGTTTGATCCTTGCTTTCTTTCCCCTTCCCTCTTCTGCCCTGTTCCCTTCCTTATCCTCACCTTTAGTGGTACAGATTTGGTGAAATGGTGCAGCACAATAGGGTATAAGACAGTACATTCCACTAGCATTTATTAAGTGCCTACTTTGTGCAGAGTGCTCTCCTGGAAACCAGGAGAAATAGCAAGTTGAATTAAGTCTCACGAAGGTTACAGGGTAGTAGAGGTCAGAGAAGACGCCAACACGAATAGCTCTAGAGGCCGATATTATGTGAAAAGTGCATTAGGTATTCCTCTCCCAGGCCACCTCTCTTTTGGAGCCCTTAATGTGTGATTACAGGATATGGCCTCAGTCCATTTCCCCTTTCACTCTGTGGCTGCTCTCCCTGTCCTTGTTTACTCCCTTCAGGACTCAGATTTCAGGTGTCAAAGCCTTGTTCCACCTGTTGTTGTCCAGATCGGATTTCTACTTTATCCTCTTGATTCCTTATACCTTTGATGGAGTGACTGAGGAGACTTAGGAAGTCCACTTCATGTCCTGAGTTCTGACTGACGTAGGTAAATATTGCTTTTCTGCAGTTCCGTTTTGAATGGACATTCTCTGCTGTTATAAGTGAAATGGAATAAACATCTGTCAGGTACTATCACACAGCCCGCTAGGACGCCAGTCAGTTTCTGGAGGGAACACAGTAACTTTGTGTGACAACTCTGCTTCTTCTTGTTCTGCTAATACTATGTATTCCCAGGAGTAGGATTAAGAAAATAGGTATTGGATTCCATAGCTTTATCAGACCCATTTCCCAAATGTGGATTCTAAACATCATCCATTTATTAATTCATCCCTTTTTGATTATTCCTTCATTCAAAGTCCTCTCTTCAAATATATATTCTGGTTTTGGTAGATTAATCATGAATCAGAGTCAATACACCTTTATTAAGTGCCTACTGTGGGCCAGGCCCTGTGCTAAATGCTAGGAATATAAAGAAAAGAATAAGACAGTCTTTGCCCTCTAGGAACTCACAGTCTAATGGGGAGGAGGCCATGATGAAGAGAACTTCATCCCTGCAGAAGCAGGGATTGGGGGTGGTGAGTTTCAAAGTTGATTCTGTCTTGTAGAATGATGAGTTTCTGCAGATCATGAAGTCCAGGAAAACAGCTGGTTAGGAAATAATGACAATCTGTAATATTCCATAATGATCCATGTTACTTTTGTGTGTTTCTGTGTTTCTCGAGCATCCCCAGCTAAATTTTGTTCTCAAGGATACGGAACTGTGCCTTTCATTTCCATTACGTCTCCCCTTGATACTCTGGGAGTATATTGCAGATGAGTTGTTCAGTGAATGTAGAATTGTAGTGTTCAAGCTGGAAGAACCACAGAGATTATCTAGTCCAACTGGTTTACTTAACAGAGAAAGAAGCTAAGGTATAGAGTTTCTGAAAGTTATACATTAGTGGTAGA